ATTTCCCGATCTAAACATTGAAACTAAGGAACATAACAAAAGGGAAAAAGTCACCAAAAGCCCTAAATTATGCACATAATAACACATTTATAGTGAACTTTGTATTGTGACATTAAAAACTCTAAATTATACCTACTGTAACACATTCATCATAAACTTTTTTTTTGCGACATAAAAGACCCAAATTTGTATCTATGCAACACATTTACCTTCGTTCGTCAATGTCCTATCAGATGATTTTTCAATTAAAACAATGTCGTTTTCATTTTATTTAAATCATGTGGAAGTCATGTCAACATCGTTTGCCTTCCGGCGTCCATGTAAGAAAATTTTTAACAATGCACATTGACCGAATTTTGACAGAGAGTAAATGTGTCACACAAGTACAAGTTTGAGATTTTTTGTGTCATAAAAAAAAGAAGGTTAAATGTGCCACAGTTGACATAATTTAGAATATTTGGTAGCTTTTTCCCTGACAAAAAAGATAACAACCACACTTCTCGCATGCCCGATCAATTTTACTTTATCATAATTTGGCACACGAGTAGTACGTGTGCATGATACTAGTTAATCATCTTAAGCCTAAAATATAAAAATCAAATTAAAAACATAATTGTCCTCAGCTTTTCTTTTAATTACACTTTCATCTTCTAGACTCAAAACCTATACTTCTAGTTTAAAAATCCTTTGTTTTGCCCATTAACTTTAAAAATATTTATTCTTTGCAGCCTCTCTCTTTGATTGTAAAAAGAAATAGTTTTCAAGTGTAGGTTCTCTAAATTTAAGCTGTACAATGTTATTTACAAAGTAGGAGCAGAGTGTCTGGTAAGAGAAGATTGAAGACGGTTTTTTTTGTCCCAAATTGATCAGATTGATTTACATCCATAGTAAGCATAATTCAATTAAGTGAGAGTATGGCCCCGTTTGGTTCAGCTTTGGGAAGGGGCTTTCGGCCTCGAAAGCCCCTTCCCAAAATGCTGAACCGTTTGGTTCGGCTTTCCGGACTCGGAAAGCCGAAAGCCAGCATTTGGAATGCCATTGGAATGTTTGAAAGCCCAAAGCTGGTCCGGACCAGCTTTGGGCTTTCAGCATTTGTGGAATGCTGAAGCCTATTTTTTCTTCCCAAATTGCCCTCACTCAAATTTCAATTTTCCGGTTTTGTCCTGTCACTGTTCATCTTCTTCACGTGGCCGGCGAGGGTGGCCGGCGAGAGGGCCGGCGAGGGCGGATCTGGCCGGCGAGGGCCCGGCGAGGTCGCCTGACCCAGGCGACGGCCGCCTGGGGTCGGGTGACCGCCCAGGCGCCGTCGCCTGGGTCGTCGCCTGGAGTCGCGCGACCCGGGCGGCGCTCGCTGGGTCGCGCGACCTCGGGCGACGGTCGCCTGGAGTCGCGCGACCCGGGCGGCGCTCGCCTGGGTCGCGCGACCTCGGGCGACGGTCGCACAGAGTCGCGCGACCCGGGCGGCGCTCGCTGGTCGCGCGACCTCGGGCGACGGTCGCTGGAGTCGCGCGACCCGGGAGGCGGTCGCACGGGTTGCGCGACCTCGGGCGACACCGACCTAGGCGGCGCTCGCTTGGGTCGCGCGACCTCAGGCGACGGTCGCCTGGGTCACGCGACTCCAGGCGACCGCCGACCCAGGCGACGGCGCCTGGGCGGTCGCCCGACCCCAGGCGGCCGTCGCCTAGGTCAGGCGACCTCGCCGGCCCCTCGCCAGTGAAGAAGATGAATAGTAATAGGGGCAAAACCGGAATATTAAGAATAAAAATTGCCAAAGCCCTTTGCAAAAAAAAATTTACCAAACACTACTTAGGCCAAAGTAGCTTCACAAATTTTTTTTTACCAAACACCACTTGCATTTCCCCAAGTGGTTTTCACCTAAAGGTATTTGCATTCCCCCAAGTTGCATTTGAAAAGCCGAACCAAACGGGCCCTATGTGACAAAAGTTCTAAAGAGAGTTCGGTGGATAGATGTGAGGATATTGCAAATAAATTTAAAAAATTGCGGAAAAATTGAAACTATGGAAACATTGAGGGCAGATTGCGAAAACACAGAGAAATTAGGAAATTAGGGGTGTAGTAGCTCTTCTGGAGAAGACCGCATAAAATTCGTTAACCAAGTTATAGGAAAAGTACCAAAGAAGTCTTAAACATATAGTATTTGTGCAAATTCAATTTTAAAACATTTTAATTGTACTAATTTAGTTATAAACATTTTTTTATTTTGTCAATTGATTCCATTTGGCCAATTTAGGCCAAAATCTCTGACGTAGAGGCCAGCGGTTCTAAGTGGAATGATCGGCACTGACATTGACATTTTTAAATAATTTTTTTGAATTATTTTCCTTTCTTATTTTTTTTCTTTCCCTTCTCTTTCTGTTGATGGCCGGTCGCTGACCACCACCCACAGGCCATGGCCAACGAGGTTGACCCCCGCCTAGGCAACGCCTGGTGAGGCCGCTCCCACCGGCCATGGCTTGTGGCTATCGACTCGCCACTAGCAAAGAGAAAAGGGAAAGAAAAAAGTAAGGAAAATTACAAACAAATTGTCCACGTTAGTGCTAGCAGTGCCACGTAAGACAGTCGGTATATACGTCAACAATTTTCGACCTAAATTGACTAGATGGACTCGATTGGCAAAACATGAAAGGTTTAGGACTAAATTGGTAGAATAGAAAGGTTTATGACTGAATTGGTACCAAGCACAATATATTTATGACTTTTCCCTTAAGTTATGGGGGATTCATAGGGTTAATACCACCCAAAAGTCCAAACTAGTATACTCATGCTACATTTATCAAACATAATTTTCGTGTTACAAAATATCCTAAATTGATACACTCTTGCCATATTTATCTAAAATAATTTTCAAGTCACAAAAAATCTCAAACTCTACCCCATGCTAGATTTATTCCAAACTAATATATCTATGTCATATTTACCCCAATCTTTGAGATTTTTGATAACATGAAAACTACTTTTGGTTAAATATGACACATATTACCAGATTAGTTTGTGTTTGTGACTCAAAAATTAATTTAGAATAAATGTGGTACGGATAAATTAATTTGAAATGTTTTATTATACAAAAATTACTTTGGGATATATATGCCCCTAAATGTGATTTTTGGAGGTAACCCTCAATGATTAAGTAGCTTGACAATTCCTTATTTTCAGCGGACCCAATGTTTGACTGTCATTGACCTAGTGATCGTCTTCGTGGAAGGGTCGCACTGCAATCTTGACGCAAGAGCGACACGCTCCTTGTCAGGTACTGCTTCGACTGACATTGCTCTCTTTCCTCTGTTTTTCTTTGTCCGTGGCTAGTACTTGGACTGATGCACAGTCCCGTTAATGACTGGATGATTCTGTTTGTATAAGCACTTAATCTGCTTTGGGCGGATCACTCGTTTGTTCTCAATGGGGTTTGATCCTACCCAGCAAAAGAAAGTGGGTCCGACATCAAGATGATTCTCGAGCTTCTTTTTGACCATTCCAAGAGTAATTTCTTTGAACATTGTTTATAATGATTGTTTTCATTGAAGAACAGAATTGGGGTGTCCCCTTTTTGTATGGGGCTGATTATCTTTCGCATTTGATTTATTTAATGTCATGAACATGACGAATGCAAACCGCTGGTTCCTTTTTCTCCTGGGTTCTATGATGAGTTCATTCGTAATTCTCGATTTTTCTAGTTTTGATTAGTCTTTTCTTGATGCTAATTTGTACTTAGCTAGCAAAACGAGGCTGTTATAGTGATTTTGATGGATAGATTACCTTTATCATACCATAGTCTCCATCATCCCCACTTTCTCCATCATCCTCTCTTTGAAGAACCACTCTCCCTCATCCATCATGCACACCAGTGATTTGTGCTCATCATGCTAGAAGTTACAGTTATAAAAGCAAAAGGGACTGCAGTGGAAGGATTTTGTACATATACGTTGGACAGTAGTTAATTTCAAGAAAATTTTCCTTTTCATGTGGTCCATGGCTGCTCCAGAATTTTCCACAGAGCACTTTTACTTTGAAAATTTTCCTTAGAATGGAATTTGCTCTACTGCTAGGATGAGTGCCTACTGGTATTATTAATTTGCCGCTCTTTGTTATGGACTAATTGCAATGGCCATGAATCCAGCAGTTTTGAGCCTCTCATAGATGGAATGATCCAAAAAACTGGTGCTATTTTGTTCGTTTTACTTGCATTAAATTAGAAGATATCAACATTGCTGTGCAAGGCACAGGGTATGTGTGTTATTTCATTTCTTTGAGTAGTTCTCCCACTATTCCACAACTCATTCCACATGTTTAAACTGCTTTGTTACTGATCCGCAGTGCTTGAAAATGAGTGCTGGCAGAGTATTGGAGCCAACACTGGATCATATCCTTTATGCAATTAAACCCTCACGGGAGGACCAAATAGTTTGAAACCAAATTAGTCACGAGCTGCGAACTATAGTTGATTCTTTGGATGTTTTTCGAGGTATTATTGCTTCAATTTAGTGGGTATGTGTGTTTCGTGGTGTTGGTGTGTAGCTCATGTCCCTCTTGCAGGGAATTGTGCAGTATGTGCACCGATTTGGCCCTTCATAGTAAAAGCACGAACCAATTAAGTGAGAGCACGTGACCAAAGTTCTAAAGAGAATTCGGTGGAGTCAACTGGAGGAGACTGCAACCAAACTCGAAAAGATTGCAGGAAATTTGTAAATATTGAAACATTGAGGTTGAATTGCGACAACACTGAGAAATAACGGGCGTAATTTTCCCCAAAAAGGACAACACGAAACGTGTTCGCTAAGCTACGCGGGCCCCGTTTGGCTTTTACCGCTTTAATAACAAAGAAGCTTCACTGATCTTAGTCCTGATTGGCTTGGCCAATCGAACGGTTGTTGACTACTCGTTGACCCCAGTGGTCGTCTTCCTTCTGCAGAGGAAGTGGAAGGGTCACCCTGCAAACTTGACTTCAAAAGCAACACGCTCCTGCTTCTCAGGTACTGCTTCGGCTTATGTTGTTCTCTCTTTCCTTTGTCTTTCTTTTGTCTGTGGCCAGTACTTTCACTAATGCTCAGTGCCCATATTGAGTAGATGATCGTGTTTGTGTAAGCACTTGAGCTGCTTTTGGCGGATCTCTCGTTCATTCCTCGGTGTGGTTTGATTCTACCCATCAAAAAAAAAAATGTGGGTCTGGCGTTTATTTGTTTCTCGAGCTTCTTTTGAGAATTTCATGAGTAATTTCTGTGATCATTGCTAATTATGGTTATTTCCATTGAAGAACATAATTGGGGTATACCCTTTTTGTATGGGGCTGGTTGTCTTTCGCATTTGATTTATTTAATGTCATGAACATGACAAATGCAAGCTGCTGGTTCCTTTTTTCTTGGGTTCTATGATGAGATGATTCGTAATTATCTAATTTGTTCATGGTAACAAAAAGGTCTACTGGTAATTAAAAAGACCGGGAGCGAATTAGTTTTGATTACTCTTTTCTTGCTGCTAATATGCATTTTGGCTAGTAAAACGAGGCTGTTATAGTTATTTGATGGATCTATTACCTTCATCATAACATCATCTCCATCATCCCCACTTTCTCCACCATCCTCTTTTTCAAGAGCCACTCTCCCACACGTCATGCACACAAGTGTTTGTGCTTATCATGCTAGAAGTTACAGTTACAAAAGCAAAAGGGATTGCACTTGAAGGATTTTGTACATATATGTTGGACAGTAATAAATTTCAAGAAAATTTTCCTTTTTCATGTAGTAATGGCTGCTTTTGAGTTTTCCACAGAGCACTTTTACTTTGAAAGATTTGATTGGAAAGAATGGAATTCGCTATACTGCTAGGATGAGTGCCTACTAGTATTATTGATTTTCCGCTCTTTGTTATGGACTAATTGCGATGGCCATCAATCCAGCAGCTTTTGAGCTTCTCTTAAATGGAATGATTTAAAAACTGGTGCCATTGTGTTCGTTTTACTTGTATTGAAAATAAAAGATATCAACATTGCTGTGCAAGGCACAGGGTACATGTGTTATTTCATTTATTTGAGTAGTTCTCATGCCCATCCACAACTCCCTCCATATGTTTAAATTTCTTCGTTACTGATTCGCAGTGCTAAAAAATGAGTGCGAGCAGAGTATTGGAGCAAACGCTGGATGATATCCTTTTTGCAATTAAACCGTCACGGGAGAACCAGATCGCTCGAAACCAAATTATTGACGAGCTGCAAACTATTGTTCATTCTACGGATATTTTTCGAGGTATTTTTGCTTCACATTCATGGGTAGGTGTGTTTTGTGGCGTTGGTGTACAGCGCATGTCCTCTTGCAGGAAATTCTGCACCATGTGCATGCTTGTTCTGTGGATTTTACCATTCAAATGTATCTCAGAGCTTAAGTTCTCCCGAGGTTTCCATTTCTATTTAACAGTGTTGAAATCTTTATAATTCCAAGTGTGGCCCATCTCTGGAAGGCTTGCACTTCTTTGAAGTTGTACTATAGTTTTTTGATGTAGGGTGTCTTCACATTGCCTTTAGCTTGGTTTTGAGATATAACGTTGTAATTGTGCACTGAATAAAAAATCCTACTTGATAGTGCAATGACACTGAGTAGAATTTGTATGCGTTACAAATACAGAATGTTGTGGCATTAAAGGTTAATGACATTGTTTAAACAGGTGCAATTGTGGAACCATTTGGATCATTTGTCTCTGGTCTTTTCTCGAGATGGGGGGACTTGGACATCTCCATTGAGTTACCCAATGGTTCATACATCTCCACTACCGCGAGAGAACGGAAAAAGTATATGTTGGCATTATTGCAGTCGAGACTAATAGGTAATATTATGCGCATATATACTTTCAGAAAGTTTGTAGTTGTCTCGTTTCTTGAATATGCGCTTTCAAGTTTTTCCATTTGTCAACAACTTGCAAAGGCGACAACAAGTTTTTTCATTATTTCCAGGTTTATGACTATTTCATTAATCTCTCACGATACTCCTCCCCTCTCTCTCTCTCTCTCTCTCTCTCTATTTTACAGGAGAATATTTACCAGCAAAACAAAACTTATTACTTCAAATGGTCAACACTGATATGTGATATGAGAGAAACTCTAAGTCTATGAATTTGTGATTGGCCTTTGTAATTAGAGAGTCTAAGCACTAACAATTAACAATGACACTTGATATCTTGTTGATTTTCTTCTCTGTTCCATATGGTGAAAGGTGAAAGTTGACAAGATAAGCTTAAATTGCTACTATGGTGAACGAGATGTTACAATGCACCAACGTCAACAAGTCTTGCAATTTAAATAATAACTTTTAGGGGCATTGATGCACCTTCTGCGAATATCCGTTTTCACCTTTTCGAGTCTTACATCAAGTTTTCTGGCTTTGCACTAGTTTCTTTGTGTCACTTCTGTGCATTGGTCTATGCTCACTCTTGTGCTTCTTGCGCTTCTCTCTAATGCATCTTACACTTCAAAACCTTGCCTGGCCATACATGTAAACATGGCATGTGAAGTTCATTTACCAACTATTTGGATTAGCTTCACACAAGAATCCAACAGCTTTATTTGCTAGGAGACATTTCAACAAGATAAAACGTCTCCGGCAGCCAAATATCTAGTATTCCAGTTTACACTTCATTCCCATGGCTAGTATGCTTTGATTTCAACTTTCTAGTCACTCTTCTTCTGACTGAGAGAGAGATGTTGGATTTACATCAGCAAGTTTTAACGTCTTGTTGTCCAGAAACAAAGGGCATTGAAGTGGTTTGAGATGTTATGACTAAGGGAGATTTCAATACTCATTAGACATCATAAAACAATGTTTGGCAGGTCGATTTCAGAAGCTCCAGTTCATCTCCAGTGCTAGAGTTCCTATAGTGAAGTTTGAGAGCAGAAGCATTTCCTGTGATGTTTCAATTGACAATCTGTCAGGCCAGATGAAGTCCAAGCTCTTCTTATGGATCAAAGGCATAGACGAACGTTTTGGCGATATGGTCTTGTTGGTCCGTTCTAAATAATACTGGATATACATTGCTTACCTAAAGCAGGGCTAGATCCTATCGTATTACGTGATACCATTCTTTTGATAGGTTAAAGAATGGGCCAAGGCTCAGGAAATCAACAATCCAATTTCTGGGAGCTTCAACTCATATAGTCTCACTTTACTGGTCATTTTTCATTTTCAGGTAAGCTTTGTAACAAAATAACTTGCTTAATGGAGAACTTGCTGATTCCTTTTTAGCTCCTGTGAGTGCACTATATAAGGTATGGACATCGTTGTCCCTGAGTCTGTAGCACCGGCCAAGTCTTTGCTCATATTTAGAAACTTCTTACTGAAAAAGTGATTAGATGAGAGGGATCTTACTTTATATTTTTTGTTGTTGATTAATGAAAATTATTTGTTTACGTTCTTTCCCTTAGCGAAAGCGGAACCAATCTCTTTAGTTCGGTTACTTTTGATTTATCAGGATACTCTGTTCTTCCGGATTTATGAACTTTTATGAATGGTTTCTTGCAGACTTGTGAGCCTGCCATTTTACCGCCTTTAAAAGATGTATATCCAGGAGATATAGTTAGTGATCTCAAAGGTACTTTCTGTCATTAAAAGCATGTCTAAATTTCCCACTACGACACAATTTATCCGAGCTGACTGCTGGTGTTTCATTATGGTTCTTAATATCGAAAGGTGTCTAATTTTTCTTCTCTATCAGACAATTGTCCTACAGGGTCTTGTTATATCATTATGGGAAAATGCCTCTCTCAATTTTCAAAAGCGGAATTTTACCTGTGAGCTTTCGAACTGTTTATATAAGAACTCCATTCGACCAAAAAATATATATATAAGAACTCCAGGTCAGCATATGTAGCTATTTATTGTTTACAAATAGAAATGGAAGCTATTTGACCCTTAAGGTATGCCTTCCGTCTTTATTTGGACCCTGAACTCTTCATTTGCCACATCTTTGCCCCTAAATGAGTTAAAAGTTAACGAAATCTGCTGACATGATGTTTCAGTGAAAAATATGTTGATTATTTGGTAAAAAGTTACATTTTGAAGCTTAGAGATCAAAAATGCCACTACCGCCATAGTTCGAAGGCAACTTGCAGTTTCCCCTTTTCATGAGTACTTTCATAACTCCGAGCATGCTCCTTTTCAAATCATAACACTTTTCCTCTTGATTATATTACTCTCCTGTAGCCTCAAATAACAACAATGCTTGCTTTGTCCATTACTGTTAACAAGATAAAACGTGCGAAGACCCGTTTCAAAGATTGCTGTTTGCATGTTGGAGGTTTCGAGGGTTTTGGTTAAACCATTGTTTGCTATAGTTGGAGGACTCATACGCCAACTATGAGACAGATTCTGTGGCTAACTTGGTCGGAAAAATGTGGCAGGTGTAAGAGCTGATGTAGTCCGGAAAATTACAGAAACTTGCACTGCTAACATAGCCAGGTGGAAATCCAACAGATACAGGGCGGTTAACCAAAGTTCCTTGTCTGAGCTTTTTGTTTCCTTTTTTTCTAAGGTAATATTTGACAATATTATTCCCCATGAAACTCGATACAGTTCAGGAGATGACAAAAATAACTTAGAGCTGATATTTGCTCTGCCTAAATTACTTCTTCATTCTTCAGAATCATGTTTTTATGATGTTTTTGCTTTTTACCAATGGCTGATGTGATGTTAGTTCTTATGATATAATTTGACCATTACATGGAAACTTTGATATGAATCATGCCTCGTCTTATGCATTTTTTTGGCAGTTTTCGGACATAAGTCGGAAGGCTAAAGATCTAGGAATTTGCCCCTACACAGGGAATTGGGTATTGCTAAGGAGCAATATGAGATGGATGCTTCAGGCTAATCCGATCTTTGTAATTACCATTTTTTCACTGTTTCTTTGTAAACGGGAAAACAGAAAAGTAACACCAATAGCTATTACCATCACTTCTTATTCATCATTTCTTTTTCTTTTTTTTTTGTTTTGCTGATTGGTTAGATTGAGGACCCATTTGAGCGATCGGAGAATGCTGCAAGGACGGTTAAAGCAAGCCTTTTGATGAAGATATCTGAAGCATTCGAGACAACTTATCAAAGAGTTTCATCAACCTATCAAACTAAGGCTTCTTTGCTTCCTGGACTCGCCAGGCCGCGCGTTTTGAAAGCTCTTGGGATGACTCCCCCTTCTAGAGCAGGGAGTTCGGGTGGCAACGGCAATAAATTGAACAATTCAGTTGTATTTGACACTGCCTCGTCATCACAAGTACAACAGCACTTTCAGAACATGAGTCTGCAACACCGTGGCGAGGTCCAGAACAGCCAGCCGTCGCAGAAACCCTCACCTTTTCATTGGCTTTGAAAATCAAGATGAGTGGTAGGAAATTATCGAAGGAAAATGCTGGACTTCGGAGGATATGAAAGTAAAGTACCTTGCCCTAGTTTTTTGAAATAGTTGCTTGCATCGAATGGCTGCTTTGCGTTCGATATGTCTGCAATTTTCAACGTACTTTTGAACTTTCTCTAGCAGATTGCTTTGTGCTTTTCGTTTGGTATTGACATAAATCAGGGCACATCTGTAAGCATTAACGTTACCTAGATCTTCCAAACATGGCTCCACCATAGGAAGTGGACTCTGTGTGCTGAGATGATTTTCTTGACAAAGTTTGCTACCATCTTAATTCAGTTTACTGTGTGGAATAGTAAAAAGAACGAGGATGAGTTCTGCTAAGTTCTCTTGAAAGAAATTGATGTGTATGATTAGTTTCCTTTAAAGTTTATGTGCCCAAATCGTTAAAATTTCAAATTGTACATGTAGATTAGTCGCATGTTAATATGCAGTTGATCCTCTAAACTCGACTTCAAAGTGAAAATCCGTGTTTAGGTTTGATCTCGACTCCTGAGTGATTCTTATGTTTCTTTCACTCAGTAAAGAAGGATCATTGTCATTCTCTCCTTCTTTGAAGGAACCGTTCTCTCTTTGCACGTATGAATTAAGTAAAACTCTACTTTTCTTCCCTGAAATGATGCACATGTTACAATCGACTTCATGAACTCGCATACATTTTCTAATCAAGTCCTTCCGATATCATTTCTGGTCAATTCGAGTTGGTATGGCTGTTGGACCATGCCAAGTATGAAGTGGAAGAAGCTTTTTCCGTGGTGGCTTGTCTGCTAAGGCAAAAATTTACCATGGCGGCTTGTACACACAGGCTAAAAAAATTTCCACGCCATATTACGGTAGAGATCGATAACCACATTAGCTCAAATTGATCAATACCAGTGCCACAGGGTTTTGATTTAAAAATTTATTCAAGTCCAAGGACTTAATTGTATAAATTAATAGTTCAAGGATTGGAAAAAATGCGTAAGTTCAGGGATAAAACTAAAAGTAGTGGAATTTTACCGTATGGATAAATAGGTAAAATAAAAAATTATTACCAATCGACTTTCAGTTTTAAGCAACTCCTTGAAATTCTAAAAACGGGCTTTCTACTTAAGCGATTGAATTTCGTTATTTTAAGATCTATTACAAAAAAATTGCAAGTGTAGCCGTAGTCGTAGATATTTCACAATTTTGAAACCTTCCAAACGACATTCTTGATTACATTCCCCAATTATCCTTAAGTAATATTATATCCTCTATAATTATTTTTGTCATTCTCCTTTCGCTTTAAATCTTGACTTTAATTTAATATGTAGTGATTAAAAAAATAGCAAGATAATGTTTGACACGTGATTTTTAGTAAATAAAAATAGCTAGATAATGACAAAAATAAGTAAGAATGGGAGCCAATTTGGATGGGTCCGTTCACGCGAGTTCCCTCTCGACCTAAGTTTTGGAGAAAATATTCGGTAGTTTCAAATCACCACGTCGTCAGCATACGTGGTATATATAATCCTAATCAAATCCATTAAAAAAATGTGACACGTGTTCAAGTGATGTAAAAATTAAAAGACGAAAAATTTAAAACTAACCACCACGTCATTATCATACGTGACATATATAATTTTAGTTAGATCCATTAAAAAAGTGACACGTGACCAAGTGACGTGGAAATTAAAAGATGAAAATTTAAAAGCTTGCAGGCTTGTTAGTAAGAATAGTCCTCTGTCTCCTCATTAATTGTGCTCTTTCTCTCACAAAATCCGACGACCACCTTTGGATGACCACCGCCGAACGCTCTCTCTCAACTACTGGAAAACGATGGAGGCTTGGTGGAGTCAGGGTCAGAGGGCTCAATGGCACGAGCTTCCCTTTGAAGAAGAGGTCGTCGGAGGGAGAGACAGACGATGAAATGTTCGCATCCATGTACTCGTGGTTCTAGTCGGACGACCCATAAGAAAGGGCAAAGTCGAACTCCCTGTCGACGTCATCCCCATCCTTGTCGCCATCTCCGCATTCATTACCACTAACTTCTTCTTTGTTACCCACTCGTCTTGCTTGTGTCTCTCCTCTTCCTCCTCCTCTTCTGCCTCTGGCACCTTGCCTCCATCCATTGAAGTGATTATTTGAGCACCACCCATCGGTAAGCTTACATTGCCGCTGCTCTTGACTAGCGCTTGAAATTTGTTGCCCTTAACTATGAGACATTTAGATGCCCTTGATTTTGTGCATCCAAGAGAGAGAAAATCGCTTGAGAAAAAAAGTGAACATTCGAGTTTGGGATCCTTTTTCTTCACCGCCGTCAAATGTCGCTCACCTTCGCCGGTTGTTGTTCGGGTCTCGAGAGGGTACAAAACCATCCCTGTTCTTCTCTATTTTGTGTCCGAAGACCTTGAAGAGTCAATACCGTGCTTGATTGTTGTTCATAGTTTGGATTAATAAATTGCATCGATTTCGAATCTGAGACTTTTGTTGATAGTGCACATGACCCGTTTGACAATTGTTCATGAAATTTATTTGCGAAATAATACTTTCCACCTATCGAATCCGAAGATTAATCAATGTAGTTTGCATGTTAGAATTCGATTAGTGGTCATCGAGTGTAATTTCTTAGTCACCGAGAGTCTCTTCTGCTTTGTTTTTTTTTTCTTAGGCTCCGTTCGTTTGACGAAAAATATTCTCCTTTTGGAAAATATTATCCTGGAAGTCATTTTCCTGGAAAATATTTTTCCGGAACATAATTTTCCGGTGTTCGGCGATCAATATGAAAAAGTTTCGAAAAATATTTTTCACCGGCGACCGGCGGCGGGCGGGCGATCGGCGGCGGCGGGCGGGCGGCCGGCGGCAGGCGGCGAGCGGCGGCGACGGGCGGGCGGCCGGCGACGGGCGGGCGGCCGGCGGTGGGCGGGCGGCCGACGGCCAACGGTGGTGACCGGCGATCAACTTCCTCTCCCACGAAATCCCATGGGCAATTTTACCTTCAATTTGGGGGAAAATGATTTCCTCTTTGTGAAAAGAGGAAATCATTTTCCTCAAAACAATGAAGGATTTGGGATGGGGAAGGAAAATATTTTTCCACTGAAAACATTTTCCGCCCTCGAACACCGAAAAACGCGAAAAATATTTTCCGGAAAAATATTTTTTCACGAACACGGCCTTGGAACGAAGAAAGCCTCAGTGAGAGCCCTTTCTCAATGGTTTTGAAAATGTTCTCACATACGAAGATAAGGATGGCGACTGATGCTCGTGGGTGACGTTCCCGAGGAGCTGCTCAACTAATCACCTCAATGGACTTAGGCAATGTGCTGGAGGCAGAGGAGGAGGAGGAAGAGGAGAGACAGAAGCAGACGAGCAGGCAACGAAGAAGACGTTAGTACCAGTGAACGCCGAGATGGCGACGAGGACTTCGACAGGGAGTTTGACTTTGACCTCCCTTCTGGGTCGTCCGGCTAGAACCGCGATTGCACAAACGCGAACGTTTCGTCATCTATCTCTCTCTCTCCGACGACCTCCTTCTTTAGAGGGAAGCTCATGGAATCAAGCCCTCTAACCCTAACTCTACCAAGATTCCGTCGTTTTCCAGCAGCTAAAAGAGAGAGAGAAATATGTGAGGTGTTTGGAGTGAAATTTGAAATAAAGTAAGAGAAAGAGAGGGGGGAAGACACTGAAAGAAGAGAGAGAGAAAGTGTGTAATTAATGATGAGAGAGATGACTGTTTTTGCTGACAAGCCTACAAGCTTTTACTTGTTCATCTTTTAATTTCGACGTCACTCGGACACGTGTCAACTTTTTAATGGATCTCGCTAAGATTATATACGCCACGTATGATGACCACGTAAGTTTTGCCTTCATTCCATATCTTAATGCAGCCCATAACAAAATATGGGCCCGAGAAAAAACGACTAAGCCCAAATTCACCCAAAAATCAGCCCACGATGCTTAATTGGCTTATCAATTCAAGCCCATCACTTGGAGTTTTGACCAATTCAAGCCCATCAAAAAAATAAAAATAAATAAAGAGCCACAGAGGAAGGAGACCCAGTACCAGCAGTCTCTTTTCCTCTTTCCTTTTGCTCGTGCTTGTTGTTCCAGGACGGAAGAGGAACGCCTGAGAGTAGACGCCAACGAAGCAGGGATCGTCCAAAGAGGGAGGTCACATGAGGAGCAACGCAAAACACTGACGCGAACATGCCAAGCGAGTGCGGCAAAGAGGTGAGGGACGACTATTCGGAAACGCCGAGCTGGAAAAAGGGGATGACGGAATCGGTTCGTGGCGTGCAGAGGAAGCAGGCAGAGTTCACAGAATTGGTCGCGGCGTGGATCTTCATCACACTGCTTCTCTTTCTCTTCTCCTCCATTGATGCTACTCTTGAGAAACATTTCACCGTACACGGAAAGAGTAGAGAATCTGAGAGTAAAAACGTTTATTGAAAGCTGATCTTCCAGGCTTGTTAGTCATCTCGGAGGTAGCTGACTGTTCCTCATCGTCGCCCGATGATGGCGCCGGCAGAGACCTAGGATTTGCTCTGTTCTACCCTGCTCCAGCGGTCGAAGATCTCGCCGTAAAGGAAATCACACTCGAAATTCATTCGTTCACTTTGATTCCGACCATTGCTGTGATAAACCAAGGCTTTTTTCCTTTGATCCGGTCACAGATTACACTTTCGTCATCGTCCATAGACCAGGTAACGTCCGATTCGCTGTGTTGGTTTTCATTGATCTTGTACTATCTTCGTTTGAGTCAGCCATGAGGCTGAGTTTGAGTAGTTTCCATGCCCATCCACACGACTCCCACCACATGTTTAACTTCTTCGTTACTGATCCGCAGTGCTAAAAGATGAGTGCCGGCATGGTATTGGAGCAAACACTGGATGATATTCTTTCTGCAACTAAACAATCACAGAAGGACCTGATAGCTCGAAACCAAATTATTGATGAGCTGCAAACTATCGTTCATTCCACGGATATTTTTCGAGGTATTTTTGCTACAATCTAGTGGGTAGGTGTGTTTTATGGTGTTGTTGCATAGCTCGCGTCCTCTTGCAGGAAATTCTGCACCATGTGCATGCTTGTTCTGCAGATTTTACCATTCAAATGTATCTCAGAGCTTAAGTTCTCCCCAGGTTTTCCATTTCTATTTAACAATATTCATATCTTTGTAATTACCAAATGTGACCCATCTCTGGAAGGCTTGCACTTCTCTGAAGTTGTACTATAGTTATGTGTTTAGGGCGTCTTCACATTCCCTTTGGCTTGGTTTTGAAATTGAACATTTTAATCATGCCCTGAAAAAGGAATCTCTTACTTGATGGTGCAGTGAGTACTGAGTAGAATTTGAATGTTTTACAAATACAGAATGTCGGGGCATTAAAGGTTTATGGCATTGTTCAAACAGGTGCGACTGTGGAACCGTTTGGATCATTTGTCTCTGGTCTTTCCACGGGATGGGGGGACTTGGACATTTCCATTGAGTTACCCAACGATTCACACATGTCCTCAACTGCTGCGAAAAAGAAGAAACGGCGTACGTTGGCAAATTTGCGTCGGATACTTACTGGTAATATTATGCGCGTATATATTTTCTAAAAAGATTGCAAATGCGACAGCAAGTTTTTCATGATTTCCAGGTTTATAGCAGTTTCATTAATCTCTCATGAATCTCCTCCCCCTTTCCTCTCTCTCTCTCTGTCTCTCTGTCTCTCTGTCTCTACTGTGGTGAACAAGATGTCACAATGCACTAATATCAACAAGATTCTAGCAATTTAAATAATAAATTTTAGGGCATTTCAGTTTTGCACCTTGTACGAATATGCCTTTGCACCTTTTGGAGTCTCTCTCACACCAAGTCTTTTTGGCTTAACCACCTACTCGTGTTAGCTTTGCGCAAGAACCCATTACCTTCATTTGGTAGTAGACGTTTCAACAAGATAAAACGTGTCCGGGGGCCAAATATCTAGTATTGCTGTTTACACTTCATTCCCATGGCGCTTCTTGACTCCAAGTCACTCTTCTTCTGACTGAGAGAGAGATGTTAAAGTTAACATTAGCAAATTTCAGATGACATTTTGTGACGCAATTTGTTTCCAGAAGCAAATGGCATAGTGAGTTTCTGCTTATCAAATCGGTTTAATATTTCAAGTAAAAGAGTTTCGATAATCATTAAACATCGTAACAATGTTTGGCAGGTCGATTTCACAGGCTGGAATTCGTCCCCTATGTTAAAGTTCCAATAGTAAAGTTTAGGAGCAGAGGCATTTCCTGTGATGTTTCAATTGACAATCTGTCGGGCCAGATGAAGTCCAAGCTCTTATTATGGATCAAAGGCATAGACGAACGCTTTGGCGATATGGTCTTATTGGTCTGTTCTAAATAATACTGGATCTACATTGCTTACGCGAAGCAGGGCTAGCTCCTATCTTATTACATGACACCATTCTTTTGATAGGTTAAAGAATGGGCCAAGGCTCAGCAAATTAACAATTCAAGGTGTGGGAGCTTTAACTCATATAGTCTCACTTTACTGGTGATTTTCCATTTTCAGGTAAGCTTTGTAACAAAATAAATAATTTAATGGAGAACTTCTTAATTCCTAATAGCTGTTGTGAATGCACCATATTAAGGCGCAGACATCGTTGTCGCCGAGTCTGTAGCACGGGCTCGACCTTTGCTCTTATTTAGAAACTTCCTGTTAATTAGGGATTATATTAGAGGGATCTTACTATATATTTTTGGTTGTTGATTAATGAACAATATTTATTTACAACACTTTCCTAGAGAAAGCGAAACAATTCTCTTTAGTTCAGCTATTCTGATGTATCAGGATGGATTGTTCGGAATTGTTTTGATAACTTGAATTAACGGTTTCTTGCAGACATGTGTGCCTGCAATTTTACCTCCTCTAGAAGATATATATCCAGGAGATATAGGAAGAGATCTAAAAGTTAAAGGTACTTTCTATCATCAAAAGCATGTCTAGTTTTCCCTATACAAGACATCATATCCTAGCCGAGGGCTGTTGTTACGTTATGGTTCTTATTATCCTAACATGTCTAAATATTTCCACTCTTTCTTCTCTACCAGAATATCAACCTAGTTGGTGTTATTTTATTTTGGGAAAATGCCTCTCTCAGTTCTCAAAAAACGGCATTTTACCTCTGAGCTATCGAGCTAGTGTATAATAACTCCAGGACAGCAAATAAAAATAAAATAAAATCGAAGCTATCTGTCCCTTAAGGTATTCCTTCTGTTTCCGTTTGGACCCTGAACTCTTCGTTTGTCACATCTTAGCCCCTAAATGGTTTAAAATTTAACAAAATATGCCAACGTGATACTTCAGTGAAACATATGTTAGATTATTCAGTGAAAAACCGCATTTTGAGGCTTAAGAATCCAAAATGCCACCACTACACGGTCCGAAGGCAATTCGCAGTTTCCCCTTTTCATGAGTACTTTCATAACCCCGAACATTTTCTTTCAAATCATAACACTTTTCCTCTTGATTATATTCCTCTCCCATAGCCTCAAATAACAACAATGTATGCTTTGTCCACTACTGTTAACAAGATGAAACATGCAAAGAGCCGTTTCAAATGTTACTGTTTGTATGTTGGAGGTTCCAAGGGTTTTAGTTAAACCATATGTTATAGTTTGATGATTTGTGCGAGTCAAATATGAGCCAATTCTGTGGCTAACTTGGTCGGCAAAATGTGGCAGGTGTAAGAGCTGATGTAGTCCGGAAAATTACAGAAACTTGCGCTGCTAACATAGCCAAGTGGAAATCCAACAGATACAGGCCGGTTAACCGAAGTTCCTTGTCTGAGCTTTCAATTTCCTTCTTTTCTAAGGTAATATTTGACAATTCTATTCCCCACGAAACTCTATACAGTTCTGGAGATAAGAAAAATAACATGCGATTGATATTTGCTCTGCCTATGTTACTTCTTCATTCTTCAGATCATGTTTTTCTGATGCTTTGCTTTTGACCAATGGCTGGTGTGATGTTAGTTCTTATGATATAATATGACTATTACATGGAAACTTTGCTATGCATCATGCCTCGTCTTATGCATGTCTTTTGGCAGTTTTCAGACATAAGTCGGAAGACTAAAGATCTTGGAATTTGCCCCTACACTGGAAAGTGGGAAGCGCTAAGCAACTGGGAGCCTCACACTCATGCGATCTTCGTAATTACCGTTTTTCGCTGCTTCTTTGTAAAAGGAAAAACAGAAAGTAACACCAATAGCTACTGCTATCACTTCTTAATCATCATTTCAATTTTTTTTTTTGTTGTCTTTTGCTGATTGGTTAGATTGAGGATCCATTTGAGCAACCGTTGAACGCTGCAAGGACTGTTAAAGCAAGCCTTATGAGGAAGATATCTGAAGCATTTGAGACAACGTATCGAAGAGTTTCATCAACCAATCAAACTGAGGCTTCTTTGCTTCCTGGATTGGCCAGGCCACGCGTCTTGAAAGCTCTTGGGAGGATGCCTTCTAGAGCAGGGAGTTACGGTGGCAACCACAACAAGATGAACTGTTCAGTAGTCCCTAACGTTGCCTCGTCATCACAAGTACAACAGCAATTTCAGAACATGACTCCGCAACCCCTTGACATGATCCAGAAAAGTCTGACTACGAGTGATCGATTTCAAAGTGGGTCCGTTCCCACTCTGAAATTCGGAACCAACCCAATCAAAGTAGATTCCCAGTTTGTGGAACCGAGAACCAACTCTGTTGACCCTAAAACTGGACCGGACCTGCCGGGCAAGAAATGTAGGCCAGTCCGTGCATTGTTTATTTTTCTGTCTTTAATTTTTTTCTTTGAATTTTTCTTGTCAAAAAAATAAAGGCTTTCTATTCAGTTTACGGAGAGCAAGTGTTCAAAAAACTATCTGCCATAACAGAAAATTATCTATTAGGTTATTCTCTATCGAAGTTAACATTAAAGGACCCTTGTAGTGCACTTGATCAACTCTACGAAGTGCACAGACCACTGTTTTAACCGGGAAAAGAAAAAGGAGTTCAAAGCAAAAGTTATGAAATTACGGCTGAGATTTTCTTCTAGGGCGACTATTTGACTTGCAGTCGACCTAATAAAACAACAAAAATCCAGTGATTTTACCAAAGAAAGGCAGAATTTCTCTTTGCATCATGCTCTTGTTCACTTTAACTCACACTCTTCCAGAGTTCACCTGAAAAGTAATACCAAGACAACAGTAGGACTTCATTGTGCCTAAATGAGCCGCCACTGGATTTATAAAGTCAGAACTCTCGCATTCTACAGTAACACCTACGTTCCCTCTCATTAGCAGAGTGTCATCTTTATGTATGTAACTGTTTTTTTTTTAATGAAAATTTGATATTGTATAGGTGGATAAATACCAACACTATACATGTATGTAGATGGGCCGGTTCCGTCAGTCCAATTAGGTCCAATTCCGTGCAAAGAACCGGAAACCGGACCAATTATTGTCATATACAAATTTTTGGAACCAAGAATCACATCACTTTCTGCAGGAAGCAACCAGAATTAATCGGTTTTTGTGTAGACCGATGCTCACCCCTAAGTCTAACCATGCAGAAACCCATGAAGCCTGTTATCACCTCCTCACTAGCTTATGAAAATTAAGATGAGTGGTAGGAAATTATCAAAGGAAAATGCTGGATGCGGAAGATATGAAAGTAAAGTGCCTTGCCACGCTTCTTCAGATAGTTGCTCAGATCGAATGGTTGAGTTGCGATCGATGTGTCTCACAATTTACGACGCGTTTTTTTGAACTTTCTCTAGCAGATTGCTTTGTGCTTTTCATTTGGGAAGACATGAATCAGGCATATCTGTAAACAGTAAGGTTACTTAGGTCTTCTAAACATGGCTCTCGCACAGGAAGTGGACATATGTGTGCTGAGATGATTTCCTAGACAAAGTTAATTTGCTCCCAATATCCATCTTAATTCAGTTTTCTGTGTAGAATAGTAAAAGTTTGTACATGTAGATTAGTTGCATGTAATCGTTATTTTCTAAACCCAACTTCATAGAGAAAGTCCGTGCTTAGGTTTGATCTCCACTGCTGAGTGAGTGCTATGTTTACATTTTCCTAATTTAAATTAACTAGTCTCTCTTTTTACCCTTCCAAAAGGGTCCGTCTATTTACACGTATGGATCAAGTAAAATCCTACTTTTCTTCTCCGAGCCGATGCACATTTTTTGATCTAACTCCTTGAAGTTTTATTTTATCTAATCGAGCCTTGGAACTTTCGTCAATTTTAATCAAGTATCTCCGATAATTATTCCAAGCAATTCGAGTTGATATGACGGCCGAACAATGCAACTATGGAGTGGAAAAAGCTTTTTCCATGGTGGCTTTTCTGCAGAGGCAAAAAATTTCCATGGCAGCTTGTACACAGAGGGAAGATTTATTTCCACGACGTATTCTAAAAGAGATCGACAACTAGGGGGGGAGCATCAAGTCTGGTTCTAGGGATAACTGGCCCGTCTCCCAAGAAAACCAATCCGTTTCCCGGTTCCGCGAACCTAGAACCGATTGGTTCCCAATCTGGTTCTCAGTTTCAATATCGGACTGGCATCCCAATGTTCACCGATTTAAAAATGCATCACACGATTAATGCTCTCTTCATTGTATTGAACCTAATTCGACAATACATGTATCATCGATGTGGTAAGAGTCCTCGCCAAGTACTAAATGTGTTCTTGAATAACATGGAAGAAATCAAAACACAAGAGACATATAAATGTTCTCATGTTTTCAATTTGTCCATGAAACATCACCACCCCTCTTTTCTGGTACTTTTCAGTAGTTAGGTTTTGATGCAAGTGTGTATAGCACGTGGTAAATATGATTAAAAAAAGACTAATCATGGAGGAAATGTGTGTCGAATTATGCTAGAGAAAACTCATTTTTTTTGTAAAAATGTCCTAAATATGGTAAAAGGATTTTATTTGCCGTAAATGTGGATCGACATGTTATATTAAAAAACCACTTTTGCGCATATGGAGATTCAAATCATTGTCTTCAACACGAAGAAAATAATAATATAACCACTTGACCAATATATGTTTTTGTAGTGAAATAGGGTATAAAGACATTAGAAGTGCCAAAAGTTTCGATGGTGCTTACTTAGTGCCAAAAGTTTTCGCCGACTTACTTAAATGCCAAATTGGAGAAGAAAATGATCACTTAAGTGCCTTTGACAAGAATTCTGACAAAAAATATTACGTGGCTTTTATAATAAAACCTATAACATAAGTTGGCATTTTTTATTAATAAAAATTAGTCTACATGGACATCCTAAACGACGTCGCACGAGTCAATGTGGCTGGCCTTCCTAAAAACTAGGGGTGAGCATGGTTCCAGGTTCTACCCTAGAACCTGAGAACCTAATCAATGGAAACCTATAAGTTCCAGGTTCCAAGGTATGCATGGTAGGTTCTAGGTTCCAAAAATTGGAAAACCTGTTTTAACGGGTAGGTTTCAGGTTCTAGATAGGTGAAACCTGAAACCTGAACCTGTCTTCTCTCAATCCTGTGGTGTTTCATGGCATTAGATGATGAGTGTATAATCTGAAATCACTAGTCCAAGCTTTTATTTTATGATTTGTTAATGTTTCATATTCTTCGTGTGTCTAAATATAAGTTGTGGTTAGTGGATCATAACAGTAAGTGATAGTTATTAAATGTGATGATTCACTGCAATTGTTCAATTAATAATACAGGTGGAACTTGAGTAGACTCTGGAACTGACCCTCGAACCTGTGATAGGGTAGATTTCAAGTTCCAAAAAATGAGGAACCTATTATCATGGGTTGAACCTATACAGAACATGAAACTGCTTACCCTAGTATCGATTCACGCAATGACTTCTCATTTTAGTTATATTTATTTGAACCATAATATCAGGAAAACTAGTCTTTTGTATTCTCTTTGATGAATGACAAGCTTGTTCGGTATTGTTGTATTCATTTTTATTTTGTTTAACTAAAAATGCAATAAAAATAAAAAAAGGAACCTGTTAAATCCTGGAACCTGTGACAGGGTAGGTTTCAAGTTCCAGGTTCATACGGGTAGGTTCCAGATTTTAAAAAATGAAGAACCTGTACCCAAGAGTAGGTTCCAAGTTTCAGGTAGAACCTGTAAGAAACCTAAAACCGCTCACCCCTACTAAAAACGACGTCACACGACTCCTGGGTGAAAAATCAATGCCGCACACTTGACTCTCAAATTAGGTGTTGTTCATCACCGTTGTTCAACCCTTGACTCCCACTGATAAAATGACTCCCTATCACTATCGTTCGCTCACCGTTGCCGTTGTTCGCTCGCCTTCGCTTGCTTACGTTCCATCTCTATGATGCCCCAAAAATGTCATGCATGACACGTGTTTTTTTCATTTATACTCATAATTATAATTACGCATGCAGAAGCACAATAAAATTTTCACAACATCTCATACAAGAAATCGCATGAGTTTAATTAATATACTTATGCTTCTTTATTTTAGCACCACTAGTTACCACTTTCACATAGTATTCAAATAAATACAATACAGTACATAAGTCATGAGAAAAGAGTGGGGTCACCTAAAATATTCACTCCACTCCACCACTAAAGACTTGCATGTACGAAAGTCAAGTTATTTTCTATGGACCAACCAACTTGTCCATCGACAAGCCATCGCCATCGAAGCAAGGGGAACCATCGAAACCCCTAAGTGGTCCAAAGTACTCCCCGTCAACCCATACGATGGGACTACACTTAGCATATACTACCATTGATTCAAGTATAAGCACAACTTGCTATTCGCAATCAAAATACGCTGGAACTCCAAACCGCAATAGTAAAGAGTGATCCATTCTACAAAACTGAAAAATAAGGGGTGAGTCGAACCTCAATAAATGAAATCTCTAAGTCTAAGGTAGAAAATCATCTTACCACTCAACTTGGTACCAATAAACAATGTGAATTCAAAGCAATATAAAATACCCATGTATGACAAGTGCAGGAGTTATTATCTTTCTTATCATGATTTACCAATAAAAATCATTAATAACATTGCATAAGATCGTTAAGTCAAATGCAAGCTAATGGCATTATTTCATGATGCACATATATCACATAATGGCTAACCACTATACACAGGGAATATTTCCCTACTCGTCATGAAGCTTACAAATATATATAGGTAATTTTATACTTGTAACTAGTTAGGACTCATCTCGACTCACGAGACATCCCGAATACTCCCAAGGCATTCTGACTCATAAGGCATCCCATCCTTGTTCAATGTGCAATTCGGTTCATTCCTACCCCTTTTGCTATCTTAGAAACCTATTAGGAGCCACTCATTGCCCAAACCCTCTAGCCTTGGTGACCACTCTCCACCCTCATCGGACCGGGTTGTTACAGGTCCACAAACTTTCACCTAGTTCATCCCCAAACTATATACCTACTACGAGGGGTCCCGCTTTGGCATCCGTGGATTAATTCAGTCGAAGTATTATCTGTTTTATATGATTAAAGAACAACATATGGTAAATAATTTACATAAAATGTGAACGGCTCAAAGATTTTAGCATAGCTATCATATCCTTTCATTCATTATTTAATTTATTTCCATTAACTCGTCACCTAGACTAGTATATAGAATTTTTTTAAAATTTTGTCCCATTTTAGCGATAGAAAGTTTAATAGGTATTTTTTACATTGTTTTTAAATGGGCATTGGTCACCTGCATGTTAATTTAGTATGGCTTTTGTTTTTTCCTTTCCCTCTTCTCTTCTAGGATTGGCAGTTTCTAATGGAAATTGGCATGTTTATACATAATTATGTGACAAACTTGAAAGTAACATGAATTGAAAGTGAACTTAACATGCATTAGTTCAATGGCATAATTAACAAAAATAAAGTACTTTCCAA